CTGGCGCGCCGCGTCGCCGTTGAGTTCAGTGACAGCGACTCTGCATCAGAGAGTGAATGCGATAGCGAAGGATGGGGCGAGCAGGAGAGTAATCTGGCGTGACCCAACTCCCTATCATCCGCCACCGTTACTGCCTCCTAGGGAAACGGCCGACAATTAATTCATTTTGATGCTTCGACGCCACCATAACATTCTCCAGCGCTGTAGCGAGCCGATCTATTTCGTTTCTCGTCTCGTATCTCCGTGGCCGATATCTCGCTTCTGAGGAATTACAAAACGTGCGCGCGCTTTAAACATTGTATTATATATTTAGAATTTACGAATTTCCAAGACAGACCCGAAGTAAATTCTGAATTATAAAAGCATAATTATACATAATCCTCTCAACGGAGATCATTCGTTACGGAGAATATACAGGTAGAATCTTAATTTATTATTGCTCGCCAAACAAAAACAACGTAAATTTCTTAATGGAAATAATTCGCGCCTTTCATCGCGTTATTAATACAAGAAAAATTGAAATGATACCGATATCACATTTTCCTGATATCATTATCTTGTGTTAATCTTCTGTGTTCAGAAATTTATTCTGCAAAAAGAACACAAAATACTATTTGAAAACAATAGAAACATTAGAAGTTAAATTTTTGGAAAAAGAATTCTTAAAAGTGTTTGAGTTTCGACAACTTTATAGGATCTCGTCAATCATGTTGTCGTCTTTTTGTCTCACAAGTTATCCCGCAATATTGAATCGACTGGTCAGCCAGTCAGTCGACAAAGCAATAGCACCATTTAGTTTAATCACTTTGTTTTTAGAACAAAGTGATCTCGAAGATATGCTAATTGCGATCAATTTAATTACGAATGTAGTTTAGCCAAATCGCGATTCGAGTTTTGAGTGCAGCGAACGAAGCACTCGTGAGCTCGTAAGAAAAACAATACAAAAATCAAGCACTTGTTAATGGTGTAATTCGTAGGTCCAGGTTATAGGATTTTCTGGAACGATAGGAAAATCCTAGAAAAGACGGCTGACAGGTTGAACGCCACGTTTATAGTCTCCTTAAAATAGTACTCTTCAAACTAAAATATCTTCTGCATATTTCCAACTTGTATGGCCATCTCAGAGATCACAGTTTAGATATTAATATTGCGAATATTGATACATATATAATATAATATATATATTATTTTATATGTTATCTTGATATAATCATTGTATAAATTCATCCATCAAGAAAACATAAATTTCTATAAATTTATATGAATTTTGGGAATATAAGAAACATTAAATAAAAAGATGTTAAACTAATTACTAGATTTCTACGCGTAAGCTTGATATTTATAAATGAGTCATAATTCTGGTCATAATAATGGTGTTATGAGGCGTTCAAACTGTCGGCAAAAATATGCGCACACAGAGAAAGTGAACATCGACTTGCCGAAGTCGTGACACACCAGGTAGAACCAGGTAGAACTTCCTTCCCGGCACATTCCATAACGATGCTATACGATGATGCATGGCGATCGTTCACTCACACACACATACACACGCAAACATACGTACATACACATAAATAAATAATATAAAGATAATAGTAATAATAATAATAATAATAATATATAAGCGTCTCTACTTACCCCATAGAGACGAACGCTCCGCGTTAAAAGCGTACACCATCGACAGGACGACGCGAGTTAAACCAAAAGGCGCAGGGCTGGATACTCTCGAACGAGACTGTAAGATAGAAACCTTAATACCGAAACTCCTTTCGTATTCTTGTCGCGAGAGTCCTCCGGAATTTTCTTATCCTCCGCCGTTTTCAAGCCGTGATCTTCCATGTTACGGCGCTGATAGGAATACGCAAAACGATGCGAAAGTAATCGCGCTAGTTTTACGAATTGAATTTCTTCTATTTCCGTATTTCTCTTTTTTTCAAACCGTTTCACATGATATATTGTTGCATGCACCATTGCTGTATTATAAATATCTCCATTTTTTTTTAGAAAACAATCTTTTTGTTCATGCTTGAACGGGGTGATTACTTTCGCCACGTCGTGTTGAGAAACCAAAATACTTTGTTAAACGTAGAACGGCTAAACGTGAGAGAGAGGATTAATATTTTTTAGCGTATTCGTTAGCGTGTAACTCGGTGGGGAAGAAGACAAGAGAAAAAATGCGTATGCAGTACGATATATTGTTAACTGCGCAGAAACACAGTTGCCAATCGGAAGGTAAACGGGGAGGAAGAAATACGATTGTGATTTATTTTGCATCGATGTTGGCGAAACACGACGACGACGATTCTAGATAAGTCGGTACGCATATGTATACATACATGTATTTAAATATGTATGTATATATATGTATACACAGATAAATATATAATTATATATAAATATATATATTATAGAATATTATAAAAAAATATCGGTCGCGGTAGTCTTACTGCGAAGTTTCACGGCGGTGGGGAGAAAGACGAGCGTTTTTTTCTCCGCTACCTCCGCTATTTCCCTGAGAGTAAGATCTGTAAATTTTCTTGTATGTACTACAAATCTTCTGTAAGTAACGCGAAAAATGGGACGGGCGATTCTGTTGGACCAGGTAAATGGACACTCGAAGAGTTTGCTTAGAAGAACGCTGGATGAAGAAATTCCGGCACTCCGTGATTATTTAAAAAAATTTTTTCAAAAGATAGTCAATTTTAAGTTTGTCAGAAAGTTTTTTCAGAAAGTTCTGTGAAGTTTGTGCTTTATATGTGTATCTTTTCTATTTTATTAAGTTTAATTTTTATCGCGTTGTTCGATCGGCTCGAATCGAATAAGCATAATTATATAAAATGTATTGAGAGGGAAAATGATATGCGAATCATCGGCAACGACGTGTGTACATTTACGTGAGTACTTTGAACGTGGGAACTATAATTACAATATAACACTAATCAACGAGGCTCGTTGAGACGGAAAGCGAAGTGCCCGACAGTCCGAGCTTAAGTTTAATTTATTCGGAATTGGACGAAGTAGAACAGGTGATTTAAAAATAATAGGAAGATCGCGCGCACGATTTCCATAGACTAATCAAATCGACTTTGATTTCTGATTTAGATAAATCTAATATTATTCCTGTACAGCGATCAACTTCCTCGTGAGAGCCAGAAGCGTTTCACGAACAAATTGTACTCATTACATTATTCATTTCACAATCGCGGAAGTAATTCAATAATGACAGGGATGGGATGATATCGTTTAAATTTTATTTCACGTCAGAGATGCTACTTTTTGTTTGAATAATTCTTATTTTGCGTACAGGATGCGCCAAATGCTCTATTTCTAAAAAAACAAGATAGAGCTTTTATTTCTTATATATTTTTTTAAATATTTTTGGATTACAAAATCCGTCAAGATATCACTTTCACGAAGATGTTGGCGCATCCGGTATACGCGCAAATAGCGCGCAGCAGATTCTGTAATTCTTAATGACAGTCTTATTATCGTTACATTGTTATGTTGCTGCAGGTATAATATATGATAAAAGACAACATAACGATAACGGCATTCATTAAGAGTTATAGAATCTGGCTTCGGTGCAGATCGAAACTAGACATAAGGACACTAGACGTAAAGGATATTCTTAGCTATCTCGCCAATTTACGACACAGTATTTATCGGAGGTTTTTTTAAGGAGAAGAGAGGGGAAGAAAAAGGGAAAGGGCGAAACGGGATTCTTTTTTTTTGAATGTAAGCTTCTCGATATCGTGCGAGTTTGTATGAACGAAATAAATATAGTTGTCATTCGTCTCAACCGCGCTTTCCGCAAGGGGTTTCCCGTAAAAACTAAATTATTGTAAAGCCGTTGTGTACCTAATGTCCACGGGTATTCCAAAGCTTGTGTAAAACGAAGTGTATGCTCGAGATACAAATATATATATTTGAGAAACGGTCGTCGGGATCGATCGGGATTGGTAATGTCTGAGAGAGATGAGGGAAGAAATCTTATACGATTTGAAAACGGAGAACGGTCTGGGGCTCGCGAGAGATCCATCCAGGCTGCAAGAACGTCATTTACCCACACCGTTACAAATATACGATGGTATTATTATTAATAATAATAAATTTGTAGCAAATCTGTACAAAGCCAAATAAATCAAAAAAATTTCGTAAATCCTCCACTCCAGGTTTTCTCCATTGTCGAAGAAAGTCACTTCCTTCGAATCGGCAGTGATCTCAGTGTAGATCGAAAAGCGTTTTTTTCAATCGTTTATTAACGTACTGCTATTTTTTTTAATTTTACTCCACAAATTAAAGAAATCCAGAAATTAAAGAAATTATCATCACCTTCTATCTTATTCAATTTCGATCATCTTGCGAATTGTTTTGGCGAGGATATTCACACCGTAGGCTTATATAATAAAATTAACATTTTATTTGAAAAATCGAGACATACACAGATGCGAAAACAATGATAGCACATTCTGGTAGCACCGATAAATAGACGCTGAAACGATATCTTTAGACTTTAGAGTGACTATGCGTGGGCTGATTGCTCGTTTGATCAATTGGATCGTTTAATTCTTTTTTTTCTCTTTGTTTTACGGATTAGCTCTCTCGTCTTGATTAGTTATAACGTCGAGCAACAGCTTTCTCGCAAATCGGTCGGAACGATACGGAGTGTCCGTAGAGTTTCTACTTATCATTGCTAAGTTGTAATTATTCAATTTGTATATAATTAAAAGGAGAGTCCATTTATCTATTTCTTATTCAATTTCTACAGCAGACGTTTCCGGTGAGACTCAAATATTTGATGAATTTATGATAACTAATTAAGTATTCGACAAACATTCTTGATTTTTCTTCGAATTTATGAATCAGTAAAGAATGTAAATAATATAATTTGTTTTCCAATAAACTTTCTAATATAGAAACTTTTCTTTACAGAAAGAAACTTTTTTCTACTACGAATCTCATGAACACGCTGTATCTTTAATATAAATAAAAATTGAGTGTTTTTTTCCGACCGATGTATCCTCGCTGATCCTTATATATTTCTAGAGCGGAATGGATATATAAATATATTTATACAAGATGTATCGCAAAGCGTCGAAATCAATACACTTTATTATACAGTCTGTATAATGAAGTAATCGTTTGCGTAATAGAGATAGGAAAAGGAACTATCGAGGATGTAACGGACTGATCTTCTGTAAGCCGCCTACTTTCGAATTTTGATCGATTTCTTTAATCTCCTCTCGCTAGCAAAGTCGTTCTCTTACCCCTAATTTATCCTTCCTATATGTATATATCCCTTTAATAGCGCTATATACAAACGTAAAATGAGGGATCAACATTGGTCGCAAGCTTGATAATGTAACGGATGTTAACGATCGATTGAACGTTGATAATAACTCGATGCTCTCGCTATGCATACAAAAGAATCCGGTTAATCGAAATCAATAATCGTAAGGATCATCATGATCGGTGTATGCGGAACTTAGTTGTCGTCTTTTAATTCCTCGACAGCGAATAGAGTATTCCTCGTCGATTATAGAAATATTGATGGTATTTTATTATTGGCACTGCGATGCATCCTCTTTTGGTTCCATTTACTTTCCATCGTGTTTCGTCGTCGATAAAAATTGCATTGTCATCGATAAAAATGGGTATCGACTTCTACCAACTAGCGTAGGAAATCGCCCTTCCGTCTTCCTTCGTTAGCGATTTCTTCCCCCATTAATTATCTATTAAATTATGATCACCGAAGCATCGTCGATTGCTTGATTAATCGTCACTCGATGACGCTGCGACACTCGCGTAATTTCGGGTTGTAAGTTTCCTTTTTCTTTCGATACGTTTTTATATTGCTATACGAAGTAATGATGTAAGTCTGTCGTTATTATTGGCACCATTATCGATCACCGTTCTCCTTTTTTCGCTGGAAAGAGATCAGCCTTTCGTAATGTCGTTTCTTGTGACGCAACTCGACCTAAAGCTACGTTTACTATTAATAAAATTGGCGATTCGTTGATCTGCAGGAAAACTTTTCGCCGTTTTTAACCGAAATTGTACGCGTGGCGCGTTCTCTCGAGATTAGAGGTTGATATCGAAAATGTGACGATGTTCTGCGGCAAAATCCGAAAGTTTGCATTTCGCTACTTTTATCACGCTTTTCTTATTTGGCACGATGTCATGGATATGGACGATACTTGCGGTAAAATCTTCGATATGACATCTCCGAGATGCGTTCATCTTTTTTTTCCATATAAAGAAGGGGGAAATGTGGATAAAAAAAATCTCGTGATTACGTTCGTATTATTAAATTAATCTGATTAATAACGACAGGAATTATATTTACATGCTGATAAGTAAGGCAGGCATTCCGCGGTTAGTCGTAATTATAATGACATTTGCATGAACAAATTAAAATATACAATATAACTCTTGAAATATATATTCCCTTTCGAGGCTCGATATTGCACGCGATTTTAATTCCGTCTCTGATAAAGTCGGACTCTAAGCGAAACTTTCGTAGCGATCGATCGTGAATATATCCGCTGAGAAAAATGTTTCTCGCCTCTTTACATATAATATATACGATAAAATATTTAAACAATGCAAAGTTGAACGAAGAGACAACAACGTACTTTAAATCTTACTTTCCATTCCATCCGCCGAGAATCTTGAAATCGTCACTGATCCTTTCAATCCCTTCAAAAGAATCGTTAAAGAAACATGACTATATATATAGACTATTCTACTTGGTTTATCAAATCGTTGTGATATATTAATAAACGCGTGAAAATATTTATTTAATTTTCTTCAAATATTCTTTAGAAGTTATCGATCATATATATTTTGGATTGAAAGGATCGTTAATAATTCTTCAATAAGACTTATTTCTGGCGAACGATTATAATAAACCTCTCATACAGCAACGACCAAATCGAGGATGTTTGAAATAACGGTGGATTGCCTTCGATCGCGATACTTAGCTAAGATATCGAAAAAGAGGATGGATATGAACAGAGTAATCTTTTTCGTTTTTCATGCATTCGATTTCTTTTTTCTCTAGAAGGAAAGATAGAAAAAGTCTTTGTGTATGTATGCATGTCCTGTGTGTGTGAAATCGTACAAGTTTGTGAGCTCAAATGTTGAGCTTTCTAGATCCATCTGGACTTTCGTCGGCGTTTTCATCTAGATACTCTTCTACCTAAACATTCTTTCACACAGACAATATAAACATTCAAAAGATATCCGACGAAATTAGGATACTTTTTAAACTTTTACATTATCGGAGTTTACTCCACTGACTGATGAAGTCGTCTTCAATCTAAAGGCATCCGTCAGTAGCCATCTTCGATCTTTTTCTCTAGAACTTGAAAAAAATTCTGAGCAAATGCCTTGCGATCTCCTGCGGTTCTCTTGATCATTTCTTCAAATGTGATCTTCGTTCTTGCTCTGCCATCGGCCGACGTCAGTAGTCTTCATCTTGAAGAAATCCGTTTACGATGACGTTTCTGACTGTCTCTCCGCGAACCTGAGGAAAATCCTGAGCGACGTGTTTTAAGCTATCCCGATTCTTGAATCTCGTTCTACCCGAACATGGCTCTCATTCTTGTTCCACGCTGATGTCCACTGTCCTCACCCTGGACGAGTCCGTGGGCAATAGTTGAAGACGTTCAGGCTCCGCATCCAGCATGATGATACACATAAAGCTCTTACCGGACGCCTGATCTCTGGGATAGATGGTCACAGGCGCGAACTTGTCCACCGAGCCATCCACGTAAGAACAAAGTTTCCGGTATACCTGGGGAAAGTGTCTCCTCAAGGAGACTCCCCTGAGCCTGAGTTGCCGTTGAATATTAGTAAAGCTGATCTCTCGCGCTTTTCGTGGCGTGTTCTGACCGTTGTTACCGGGTAATGATGTCAAGACTAAGGTCTCAGGCGAATCCATCTCTCTAGTGATGTTGCAGGGAGACGCAGGTGCTTGTTGTGACAGTCTCCTCCTGGTCTGCGGAGACGCCGAGGAGGAGGAAGCATGCTGTTTAGCCGCCCCGTCGAGTCTGATCTTCGCACACCTGGATACCAGTTGTCGTTCCCACCTGACCGCGCCGCTAGTCGGTACTTCGCTGACCACGCACACCGCCACGTAGAGCACTAGCCGCGTTTCCGGATTATATGTCTTACAGAGGCGCATCAATTCGGCGTAGAGCTCGGCGCCCATCTCGCCCGGGAGTAAGTCCGACCAACGCACGTAGGTGGGCTCGCCAAGATCGGCGAAGCCGTTACCGACGAAACGCTCGGCCGCTTCGGGGCTCGAGAAGAAGCACTTGACCGCGCCGCGACCGTGACCGGCATAGCCCCGTCTGGCAAGGGCGGAGATGTGCTTCAGAGTAGCCGAGTCCTCTTTCGCCGAGGACAGTACCTGGCGGCAGAGACTGCCGGCTCGCGAATGAAGGCAGGTCCTGCGATGACGTTGCCAGTGAGCTCTTCGACATTCGCGCGAACAGTATAGGCAGGTGCAGTTGTGGCAGCTCTTATAGGTCCTCCTCGCTTCTGCCAGGGTGGTCGAGTTACCGCACTTGTTATTACGGCACCGCACTACCTTGTCCATGCCAGCCGAGCTGCCGTTAGTAGTGGAGTCTTGGGCATTGTCGAATGACACCCTACGGTGACGCGGCTGGACGCCACCGCGCGGCATCAACGACGAGGACGACGCAGCTGCGGCAGAGCGTGTCGCTGCCCTCACTCTTCCGTCTCACCAGCTCGCCGGAGTAGAAGTTGCGCTGATCATCGACGGTTGCCTGATGAACGTCCATCACGCTCTTAGCTGACTCTGCGACAGGTTAGATCGATTGCCTTTATCAATACAGTACGAATAGATGGAGGGATAGGAGAGACGATGAGAGAGGTTGGAGAACGATCGTGATTGAATTAAAGGGCTCATCTCAAAATCGTGTTAGATTTTATAAAAAGCAAAGATGCGTATTTTCAAGCGGATTATTATTCTTGCAAAATTTCCATGCAGCGCTCTTTGCAACATCTAATTTTCATATCTTCAAAGTATGAATTTAACACGATTTGAAAGCGAGCTCTTCTTCTTGAGTCAGTCTACCAATAGCATTAAATGGAAAATGATGATGTTTATTACTTTGATGCGACGTGATGAACGATACTAAATGATTTTGTGTGGTGATGTTATATCGAACGAGAGAGAATTCGTTCTCACTTTCCTCCGTCATCGTCACCGAGAGCCAGCGCGAGAAACGCGTTAAGCACAATGACATGATGATTATAAGCAAGTATGAGCGTGAATGATAGTGATCGGCGTGATGTATCTCTTAATGACGCACTCGTACGTATAATATTCGCCTCCCCTCAACAGTCTAATTTTCCTTGTGTCCGTTCAATCGCATTTTCCTTGTGTCAGTGATGGCTTCACAAACTCAATACTTGAAGCAATTATCTAATTAAGAAAACTAAAGCATTGAAGCAAATAACAACTAGACTGAAATCATTTAAAGAACAAGATAGCTAACTAAAAAGAACATATTATAAAAATATATCGAGTTCCATAAAAAAATGTTAAACTTTTTCCAAAAGTATGTAAATTACTGGTAATAAACATGTTTAAGATTTTTTTAATTGTCATTGAAATTAGTTCTTCCTTTCAAAAGATTTCTTCATCATAATGTTGTGATATAAACTTTTGATTGTAGCAGTGGATGAAGATTAACTTAGAAAAAGAGGAATATAATTTTTAATTTCGTAAGTGGAAACATTTCATTCAACGTTTTAATCTTTAAATTTCTCTTAGAAATTCTTGCGGAAAATTCTCTTATTTCTTGTAGGTATGCGTATATTACTTTTCTAAAAATATTAATAAAAATTTTTTTGAAGTTTTTTACTTCTATACGCTATATATTCGTTGAATATAAGTCACAATTATAAAAAAGACTTGTTATATAATAAGAGCGAGTGGGTACATTGCTACAAGTTCGCGTAAAAGCGAATTCAATCTGTGTATCCAACCCATCCCACGTGCCATCAAGCTTGATCGTGCACAGAACCATAGAAGATCTGTTCTTTTTAGTCGCACTTTCCTACGTTTTCCGCATTAAAAATAAATGTGGTATATAATCAAGTCTAATGAAGCAAATCAATTGTTATCGATCCTCCCGTTAAATAAAGCATATTTTTAAAAAATTAAATTTAAAATGTTTTTAACTCGGTTTTTAATCGTTTAAAGCCTTTTAAAATTCGATAACGCATTGAATTTCGCGATACAAACACGTGAAAGTTGAGACAGATCGCTGGAAAGTATAGGAAGCGCTGCTAAAAGGGGGGCAGATCTTTAAAGAGACAGAGAAAAGATATGTAAGAAAAGAGAAAGAGAGAGAGAGGCAGAGAGAAAGAGAAAGATAGAGACAGAAAGAGAGTGTCGAGAGTCTTGGTGATGATTTTTGTCTTACGATCTCCGTCTCGGCTCGTGTTATTAATCATGCGGTCCTAATCATTCGCGCGATAAGCAGCGAGCGGCTGCTGCGGTGGCCGACCACGGCCAAGCTCGTCCTTGGACTCTGGGGTGTCTACGACCCCGTGAGGGGCTTTACACGCCCTTAGGCTCGCCTCTGCAAAGGTGCAAAAGAACGTGAGTTCGAGGGAGGCATCGAGACGCGAGATAGACGTTATCGCGTTCTTCTTCACGTCGGATGATGTTCTCATGGGTTTTTTTTTTCTGTATCGATAGATCGAGTCAGCGACTGGTCCATGGAGACTCGAGTTAAAAAGTAACAACGTCGCATTCGTTCGTCCCGTTTTATCAGTTACATCTCTTTAGGGATGAAATTGAAATTCTCTTTCGGGAGAGTCGTTGGGGGAGTCTTTTCGCAACATTCTTTCGATTCCCTGCGCCGTCGATAATGTGATATGTAAGGATGATATGATATATGTAATTTTATCTTGAGTATCTCAGTTTCGCGCGCGGAACCTGGTTCCTTCGTTCAAATACGAAGCACAGTCTCCGTGGGTGAAGGGTGAGGTGAGTGGCGACGAGGCGAAGAGAAACGCAAGTTTAAGTTTTTCTTTACACCGCAAAGCGGAATACACAGTCGGAATACACGTGTACATCGTAGTGACCCAGAGAATGTATACACCAGCGGCAGATTTCCCTCGTGCTAAGAAATTAAAGAAAAGAAAGAAGAAAAATTCCAAAAAGAATCTCTACAAATTTTCCAAAAGAATTCGACTGTCTTTAAAATAAATTTTCAGAATAAAATTAATCGCGAGATTAAGATCGGTATATTTTTATGATATCGAATTTCTGCCACTCGCGTATAAGATTCTTACAGGACACTCGATGCGCACGCTCTTCAGGGTTACGATAGGGGGGGTTCGTACGTATAGAAATTGATCGTTCTTGGATAGAATTTGCCGATCAGAACGAAAACTTACATAGTCCTCCTACCTTGGAGGTCTTGGCGTAGATCGCTGCAGCTCTGCCCGGCATTCGCCTGGCCGACGGCGGCGTTCGTATGGCGATGGCGGATGGCGGACGTGGCGGTCACGACGGGTCCCCCCGGGCCAGGACTCGGGGTACGCGACGCGGGTGGCAGCCCCAGGAGGGAGTCAAGTACGTCCTCCAGGGTCGTGGAGCCCGGGCTCGGTTTGTTCCGCAGAAGAGCTGCCGTCGCCATCGCCTCGTCCGTATCGCTCTGGCCCGATCCTGATCATCGGTATCATGCGGGGGTAAAGAAGAGACAGAGAGGTTTGCGTCATCCTCTTGGCCTCGAAAGTGTACGTGCGCGCGTACGTGCGCGCGTATGTCGTGTTTATGTGCGTGTACTTTTTTATGTGTATGCATTTGGTGAGAACGAGATAAGCCTTTCCCCATTTTCCATTAACTCCGTGATTAATAATAAAGCGATTACTTTCTCGTTGCCTCCTTAATCTGATCCCCTTTTACGAAAGGAGGCAACTGCGTGTGCATGTGTGTGTGTGTGTGTGTGTGTATTTGAGTGAAAATGAAATAAAATCCTTTCCAGGGTTCCAGTGACCCCTTTACCCCATTATGAATAAAGCGATTCCCCCATATTGCGTCTTTTGATAAATTTCGTTAAATTTCTCTTGGCCTCGAAAAAGCATACGTTCTTCATATTAGGGAGATGACAAACTTTTACGAATCTTCATTAATAGTAAATGCGACAGACGCGTGATTGCAGCCGACCGAAGTTACCGCAACTTGCGGCTAGAAAAATAATACATCTAGTTATGTGCCAGATCAAGTTTACATTTCGGGATCGCTAATTATATATCGATCGTTCGATCGATCATTATTTTATGTCATCAATTGTGCTTTACGCGCGCATAAGTGCGGCTATTAAATTACATATGAAAAGACAGAACTCGATTGCTGACATCGTAGCTGAGAAAGCAACAAAATTCTGCAGCACTTACCGTGACACAAGCAGAACGTGGTACATAATGCGACCGAAATAAGTGTATGCAGACAATGTTCACATAGATGATCGTGCCATTAAATCGGTTCTTGCAAAAAAAACGTATATAAACATACACAATAAATGTTTTAACAAAGTATTTACCAATTGAGATCGTGAAGTGAACCGATTTAATGAAAAAACAACAGGGATGAGAAACAAATAATTATATATAATTATAATTATGTATATAAAAAATAATGATATAATATATACATATATTATATGCATATATGTATATATACATGTCAATATACAAATGAACGCGGGAACAAAGAAGTTTACGGAAACACAAAGGATGACGACAATAATTTATTTGTTGCCAGGGATAATAATTATGCTCTACAGACAAATGATAATCGTTGACACGTCCGAACAATAAGTACGGAACCGTTTGAAAGAGAGACAGAGAGACCAGGGAAGCACCGGGCACGCAGAATCATCGCGAGATCATCGTTCTTGTCGTCTCGTGATTCACACGATCGAAATCTTTATAATAATATCACTCGCGCACTCAATATACATCGATAATAATTACAAAATAAAAAAATTATTAAGGCACAGCAAGAGACAAAACGAGACGTGCGCGCGTGATTCTGCGTGCTTCGGAGCCGTAATTAAAATATAGTAACAATAATAATAATAATAATAATAATACAATTAAAAATAATAATAACGATAATGATAATAATAATATCGATGCGCTCGTAACACATAATAAACGGTATGCGCGCGTTTTACATAAGTAAATCTAATTAATACAAATATGTGTATGCACCTGTACAGGTTCTACAGGTGTTAACGTAAAGTGGACAGCTTTACAGTAAACATACATGAACGCAAATAACTACTGACAATGGTGAGCGAGGAGAGAGGAGGGGAAATAAAATGGTTAAATTAATATATAAAATTAATATCTTCGTACAATGATATACGGGAGCGCCTTTCAATTGTTCCTTTATCAGCGAACAGGAAGGGGAGCGGAGGGTCGTCGACACGTATCGTAAACAAAGTAAGAAAGTGTAACTACAAAATTCTTCGCGACGAGCTCTCTCGCATGAGCGACGACAAGAATGAAAAAGAGAGAGAAAGAGAGTGAGAGACGAGAGAACGCGCGTGGAATGGAGAATTTTTTTATTTTAGAGTTTTTTCGCTGTGCGAAAAAATCCGCGAAAAGCGCGACTCGAGTATGCACTTCCAGTTTCCCGAGAAATAATCCTCGGACAAGTAAACTGCAATCAGGTAAATCGCGACGTTGCTAAATATTAATGCAACGAGTTCGTCTCGTTTCATCGTCATCTCGAGTCTCGCCGTTCGATCAAGCTTGATGATATCCACTTGAGATCCATCGCTCTCGAATAGGGAATTCTCGATAGTAAAAGCTTTCGATGAACGAAGTCTGCGATTATTCGCAGCTCCGAAGGTTTTACTACCGAGAGTCATTCTCGAGGTACAAGAGAACTCCCAAGTGGATGTACAGCTTTATCGTTTTGTAGTCGCAGTGATAAACCTTCGAGAACGAGAAAAGAAAATATATGTTGACTCGAGTCGGCTTTGTAAATTAATTATTAGCTGAGTCCTGAAAGCTCGATTAAGCCTCGCGCACCTGCGGCTCGCCCGAGCGCGAAACGAAAGCTGACGAAAACGAGGACGGAATGAAGGGAGATAACGATTATCGATATGTGGGCGTAAGCTCTAATCACCGCCGTGATGATGATAAAAAGCTCGCGATTCCGGAGAGAACTATGAGAGTACCTCCGGGGTTTTGTACCTATGTCGACGGGATGGAAACACGACGAAAAAATAAACGTTATCCTTAAGGGGATGCTGGAGTGACCAAATTATCACATTACAGTCGTATAAAAATCTTCGAATTGACTGAACGGAATAAAAAAATCCTTTTACAGGATTAAAGTAAAATCGAAAGAATGTTAAAAAATTTTTCAACTTTTTTTCGATTTTAGTACAAAGTCCACTGCACCACCTCCTAATTTTGCGTCTATTTTAATCCTATAAAAGGATTTTTTATTCCGTTCAGTCAATTTGAAGATTTTTATACGACTGTAATGTGATAATTTGGTCACTCCAGCATCCCCTTAAAGATCATCGTAATATTTACCATGTAGAGCGACTCGTAAAAACGGGAAAATAATTAATATTGATATGTTTATTATATTAATTAAATATCTAACCTTTTTTTCAAATTCTCTCTAAAACTAATTACGTTATTTCATTACGAGTCATTTTGGCTTAATTTCCAATCTGCGGGAAAATCTCCTCACGAATCGTCTTCGTCAGTTTCGCGCGCTCAGCGATGGGCGGAGTATCGAAAGTAGCCGGATGTCGAAAGTTTCGCGCGTCCGCTAGGCGAGCAGCAACTCACCGCGGTGATGATGTTGCTGTTGTTGCTGGCGATGCTGGTGACGCTGATGGTGATGATAGTTAGAGAAGGACGTGGGCGACGGGCCGGCCGAGGATGCCTGAAGATGCTGATGGTGCATGTCATCCCGGCTGGGTGTCAGGTCCAGGTAGAGACCGGATGCGGCCGAGTCCTGGCAGCTGCAGGACTCGGTGCCAGCCGCGTTGCAGCAGTCGCCGGCCTCCTGGTCGGTCGCCAGGCTCATAGGCGTCTCCGGCGAGTCCACGGGCCGCGTGCCGACGAACGAGCTCTCCATCCAGCACAGCCTCACGCTCCCTTCGAGGTGCCGACACAAATGCGAGAGCGATTAGGCCTGGGTCATAAGTGACCCTTCGCGTCGGCGTCGGAAACTATTCTAATCGAGGACTTTTATAGGACCTCCCAGTCCTATTTCTTTCCGTGGAAAATCTACTTCTAATTTTTAAGATTTCCAAAATCTCAAACGTGACTCAAACTTTGTTATTTTACAAAATACGAATTTATCCGCGATCCTGAGAGGATCATAGAGCCATAATCAAAGAAACTTGTTCTTAAAATATTTCTGATCACAATAAACTATTACTTCATACATTTCTCTGCGATTACAGACATTATAAATACGTTAATCTAACTACAAAATTTAATCCTTAAGGGGTAAACGCTGAATAAATAACTGCCACGTTCTTAAACGCGCGAAGCATCACGGAAGAAGCTATTCGTGCACATACGTGTTATATAATATCAAGGGGATTCATAATCTCTTTCGTTATAAGGCTCTCCTGACGATTAGGATCTGACGATGCGGGCATTAACTATCTTTATTGATCCTATAAACGTCTTAAGTAGTAGAAGTATATATGGGTATTGAGAGACAAATAACAAAGGAAATTAAAAATAATATCAAATAAATTGAAGGATGCAACAGCGTAATCATACGTGATTCTATACGATCCTTTTAAATTTTATATAAGAACGTTCATAAATCTATCTTGAAGAGTAGCATTAGTAAAGCTAGTCATCAAAATTTTGTTAGTGAATAGTAAGTTATATGAGAAATATTTAAGTAAGCAGTGAGTTAACCATTATCTGTTATTGATATCAATACAACATGTTAGTGTTAGTAAGCGTTAAGTTTCAATGCACGTCACAGCAGCATCTGGAAGATATCGAATCGATCAAAGTTTTAGTGAGTTTTACAGAGTTTGCAATTTCGACTTCACGCAGAGCTTTTCATTCTAGTCCTCTAATCTTTTCCAATTTACACCTTCGATATTACACCTCGCAGACAACTCGTTCGCGAGTTCGTTCGCGTTGAGAAAATGAAAGGAGGGGGGAAAGAGGTGTTTGAATTTCAGGGTAATCTATTTCGGTGACGACGGTCATGAGACACTATCGAAATAGCAGCGACTCGTCTCGACGACACGCTCTCGAGTCGCAGCACAGCGTTGAGATTGTCCGAGAAGGTCACGATCTGGCGCTGACTGCAATACACATTAGATTTCAAAATCAAGCGACACATTGTCGATCACGCTATTTTGTAACGTCATAAATTGACAGGCGTACACATCCTAACTGGAGTGCACTTTTTGATAAACGTTCGAGTATCAAACGCTGTTCACGTTTCTATTACCTCTTATTCCCACAACAGGAGCGTCAGAGCTCAAATAAGACCAAGAAAGATCGAAGACTAAACTGACTTTCCTTATAATAATCTTGAAGGCGAAATCTAAGGGCACTTCTGACATCGGAATCCTGTGATGGATTTAACGAAGGATTATCTGATGCTGAGATTGTGAACATTTACTTCCTATACCAATGGATTTATTTATATCCAAAGTGATACCGGTCGCAAGATGCGAGAAGATACGCACCGCAATTCAAAACGCGGAAGATGTAGACTAAGTACTTATAGCTTGAATACTTGTACCATGTTAAAGTGCGACACGTGTATGCGAGTCACTTGCAAGAAGCACTCTTACCGCTATGACTTGCACTCAGTGCCTCAATGGCGAACGAGAAGAAGAGTCTTCGTTTAGACATTAAGATTAGAATTTTACATTTAATACAAGGAGGTTATTGCGACTTAAATTGTATTTTTGATACCTTGGATGTATTTAACAAAATGAAATATCGCGTGAAGATAGATTTTGAATTAATTAAAAATTCCATAATTTTTTTTTGAATTTCCATTAATTTCCATTAATTTGCATTAATTCGAAACATAATGATTTATATGTAAATTTCGCAATAATAATATATTTGACTAAAATGTAATATAATAATTGGGGTTCAAATGGAGAATTCTAAGGGTGCTCATTACGGAATATGAAAATATTTTGAAAGGCGTTTCCAAGTGAATCTCTCTGAGAAACTACATTCCGTGGGACCCTTAAAATTCTTTAATCCGAGAAATCGGGGGGTAAAAATATTAAAAACCGACCTGTTTTGACCTCATCGATGCGCAGAGCCAGCTGATGCATACAGAGACAAAGAGAGAGACAGAGACAGAGAGAAAAAGAGAGGCAGCTTGCAAAGGAAGATAAAAGAAGAACATTAAGAAAATAGGAAAACTCAAAAATTACCTTCGTGACGGAGAGCAAAGGTGATGGTGGTTGTGATGTTGATAGGATGGTATATTTTTTTTGTGGCTGAGGGGGTTGCTTTAGTGCTCACCTCTGGGGCTGGTAGACCTCGCTCCGCCCCTGTCATCCCAATCTTCAGGTCGAGGTCGAGGCGAGAGTCGGCCGCCACCGCCTCCGCCGACCTCCTGGCCGCTCTGTACGTAGTGCACGATGGCCGAGGTCACCTCCTTTATCGAGTTCCGTACTTCCAGCTGCTGATTCGTTGTCTGTTGCTGCTGCTGCTGTTGCTGTTGTTGCGAAACGAGCATGAAATCCATTCCGGACAATTGAAGATTTATTATGGATACACAATTGACATTTTGACTCGAATTAATTCCACCCAGAACATTGTTATTTTAATGTCGAGAATTTTGAGGAGCAATTATTCTCAAGAATATTTCTAAGCGATCTTCTAAAGTAATTATAATCATTCGTTGTTTCGCGAGTGTTTGAAGAAATACCGAAATTATTATCAGGAGTATTAAAAAACAAAAATAAATATTCGCTCGTATGTATGCAAATCAATATAAGTAATCTAGTTATTATCAGAAAATTATAAATAAATTATTTAGAATATATGTATAAATATTTTGTAACATATAATTAATAATTATTGATTGATATTATAATATATAATACATGAAACAAATAATTATTTATTTGTATAATCCATTAGATAGAGATAAATTTTTCGATGATAAATGGTTTTTAAAATTATTACCATCATTAAGGAAAAAGCTTTAGAATATAACAGTCTTAAAAAATGTATCATGTGAAGTGTTTTTCAGGGAAGAAACCGTGAAAGATACGAGACGACAGGAGCTTTCCTGCCAGAATTTCTAATTTTAGAAAGCGACGATGCGCTTGCGTACTGTCTGCGGAAATTAAAAATAAATTGCACAAAGAGCAAGATTCAAATCTCGTAGAGGGGTCGGAGGGTGGAAATAAATCGCAAGGGATCGCGTTGTTAGTTTTCGCTTTCAGAATCCATCAACAAGTACGAGTATACGACGAGTGTGCGTAAACGCGTTATAACTCAAAACGTATAACACACAGATTCACACAATCACGAATATCGATTCGCAAATACGCTAGAATTCTAAGGCCTGCTGACGTAAGAGAAGTCGTGACGTATACGGTGACGTCAATAATTTCCACGCATTTTGTATTTGCTGACGCGTTTGCGCTGAATTATATAAGGGAAAATTGTGTTGAATGGTGGATAAAACGGATAGGCAATTTTAATTTGCCAGGAGATTAAATTCCACACGAAGGATTATGAAAAGCCGATAAGACCGAAATGACAAAAAAAAAATCAAGGATAAGTAGAACGAAAAAGGGATTCTTCTTTTATCATGCACAAACCTTGTTTGCGGCCTGCAGTTGGGGAAGAATACCCTGAGCAAGACGTTCCGCCGGCGTTCGCGGGTTGGTCAATCGCTCCTGAGAACGCCAGCCCAAGTAGGGCTGCCGGTGATTGAAGGACGATCTGGCCGAACTCGCGGGTGAACTGCCGGCGCTGTTCAGCAAGCTGGTACTCCATCTCGAGAATACGGGGGGTGTGGGACTGGGACTTAGAAGGACACCTGCAATATAAGAAAAAAAAAAACGGATGTTCATTACATAGTAAAGCTATAAAACCTAACAAAATAAAAACATATCTGTGATTATTCATTTTCTAAAACTTTTAGAGTAAATTGCTACTTTGAAGAATGAAATCTCACTAATAAAGATTGAGAATTGAGCCACACTCTTTTTCAAGACTGGCTCAATTTTCATTCTTTATATAGAGTGAGATTCCATCAAAGAATTTAGAGGACACGGCTCAAGAATTGCACATTGGAGTAAATATTCCCCCCTTTAGACTTTTTCTTAATTTATTGAAAGTTTCGGATTTATAACATTTAACTGTTTTTAAAATCGATTACATCTCGTTGCTGGTTTAAAGATAACTCAATCCCACCTGTGGTCGGCTGTCGATTGGAAGACGACGAGAGGGACGACAGGGAGGTGGTCTTGGAGCCGAGGGCGCGCCATCCTCCATGCTGCGACGCGTCGGAGTGCCTCTTCAGCCGGAAGCCGTCGCGGGCAGCGGGTGAATTCTTGTACCAGTCGGGCACATTGAGTCGTTGCAACGATCGCTGCACCCTAAGCTCGTGCTCACTCGGCACGCGCTCGCCCACTTTCTGCAACTCATTCTCCGGCGGCTGCAATGACAAATTCATGTTCGTGTTCTTCAGCGTTTCCTCAATGCAATGGACAATTATGAAAGATGTCACGACAAATTAAAAGAAATATTTCTCGCTCACGTAAGTTCAGGGATTAAAATGTCGATAATAATTGGAAAATCACCAACAGAATCTTAGAACAATAGAACAATAAAATTCAAATATAAAAATTGAAATTAATTAGAGTTGACAATAATTAATTTTAACAATTTTAATCCTTGAACTTAAATGGCTGATGAATATTTGTCTTACGTAGTCCATGTTGTGCGCTATCTATATTACAAATAAATAACTAATCTAGTTTCTACAAATGTTTCCCTCAAATTATTCGTTGTGAAAGAAATCGATTTTGACAAAGAGTAGACATGAATGTTTCGGGACACCCGGTGATGTGTGACACACAGAGAATACGTGGTTGTCGTGTGAAGCATCGTGCGAGATATCAATCCTGTTCTGCGAAAGTTTCAGGGACAAACCTGCGCGAAGGTCGACACGACGAGATCCTCGTCGCAGCTTCTCGCCGCGCTCTCGATCAAAATTCGACACGCCGCGTTATTAACGAACTCGTGAGTCGCCATCATCGTGCCGTGGTCTCTTCTCAATCTATAATCGACCATTCGAGTCCTTTGAGACGCGTCAGGAGCGATCACCGATCTGGGAACGACACTCCATTTTATTCACGGACCCGCTTCTATTTTCAGAGCATTTTCAGATGACTGAAGCTATATTGCTAAAACTATGTGTATGTAAAGAATAATTTTAATTATTTTTCTATACGTCATATTATTAGTTCAATTTAATAAAAAGAAAGATTTAACGCACAGGTACATCATATTTTTAGAAAAAAGTTAACGTTGATAATTTGTAAGTTTTGACAGATATCAGTTCCCATTTAGAAATTTGTCACTGTTAGCAGCTTGTCATATTTTTAGAAAAAAAAATTAATGATTTACAAGTTTTGACAGAGATCGGTTCTAGTTTAGAAGTTTGTCACTGTTACCAGCTCCTTCATATTTCTCATTGTCTCGACTTCAATGCTAATCGTGCGACGGCTACATAACGGATGCACGTGACGAACGTGCTCGTGATTTTCATGCACGGAGTCTAACGGGACTAAATCAGAAAGCGAATGGCTTCCACGTCTTCTGTCCTCTCTTCGTCATCGAGCGAGGGAATGGTTCGTCAATGCACACACGTGTGCGTATCGGCCTAAGGAAAATATTTTTCGAGATCGTTGAATTTTCCTCCGCGTATGGGGTGAAATGCGCTCTTCATAAATATTTTGTCAACTGAAACTCCGTTCCTAACATCCACTTTAAAAAGCAAGCAAAACTAAGCAATCATATTTTTAGTATTAGTTCGTTAAAATCACCTCGCGAAAATGATAAATTTTCACTAAGAATCGAAACGTATTCCTGTCAAAATTATAAAACAACTAAAATAGGTTATTTAAATGATTCGTTGCAGAAGGATGAAATTAATCCAGAAACAGGTTCTAATTTCTAATGCATGCACCTTTCCTCAAATTTTATCTCTCGATAAACAATATTCACTAGAAGTTCACTAGGTGTTCACTAAGACGACAAAGTAATTGAGTATGAATGATATTTAGTTATTTTCGATAACAAAAAAGGATGTAGCTCTTGATAGATTTTCCAATCCCGTGCAAACGCAAAACGGACAACGGTGATGCAGGTTTCGGAGTACGAGGCCAAGGCTGAATTGTGTGAGCGGAATAGGAATAATCCGTGTGCGGAAATGTGAGGGGCGTTTACGTAATACGGATGGGAAGAACAAATAGCAATAGGCATTCGTTTCATAGAATCGATTTCGTGAATCGCGCTAAATTTATTATAATATCATATAAGTCAAAGTCGCAAATGCCCGAATAAAACTAATAAGATATTCGATAGTGTAACCTTTAGACGTCTTATTAAAGTCCGAAAACATGAATCTTAATAAAATTATAATGCGAAGATTGACTTACTTAATTAGACGGTGAGTCTAGAAATCGAGCTGGATCAACGTAACGAAAAGAGACTAAAATAGAACGAGTTTGGTAGAAGTCAAATTAACATTAAGGGCACAACACAAAAAAAACTTAAGCAATAAAACGTGAGCAATAAATAAATTGGCCAATCACAGTAGAAACTGTAAAGCCGTAAACAGCAGCAAATCCAACAGGTTGATTTCCTTTAAGTCTTATTGTTTAATTTTTTTGTGCATTTTAATTCATAATGTCATCCAATTCGAATTATTTTTAATCATTTTTATAGGTCGTCAATTTAACTAAAACAAGGACTAAACAATTTAATTCAAGTAAATGTACTAAACATTAAAAATTTGATTCAAATTTATCTATTATTTATTAAATGCATACGTTATTAATATACACATTGTTTACTTTGAAATTAATTGCAGAAATGAATTGATTTACATTTTGATACACATGGAAGTTAAGAATATTATTGAACTTTATTAAGAATGTTATTTAACTCAAGGGATTGGATTACTATTGCTCCTTTGATATTTAACAGTGTGTGTGCCCTAAGACTTCGTATCTCGATTAAAAGAAAATAAAATATCAAGGATATCGCGTTGCGGACGGATGCATTGCATAACGGACGTCTCGGATGTCGAGACACGGAGATGCAATAATGCTAATTTAAATTACAGGCCGTCGTCTTTTCCGTCACCACGTCATCGCGTTGTCCCCATCAATTGACGCGAATTAGGGGAAAGCCACGTCAAAGAAGGCGTAGTGCATCTGCCATTAAGACGGCCAAAGACCCCGCGCTTCTCTCGCTACAAGTGCATGTGCATCGTGTCGATGCATCCTGTTCTCGCTGCATCCGCGAATGCAACCGCGGCGTCGCCTACGATATTTCGATATTAACGCGAACAGTATTATCTTTAAAATATTTAATCTAACAATTTTTAATCTACACGTATAAAAATATTAAAAAAATATTCCAATTATTATATTTACACGTTATTTTCAATATTTAAAATGTTAAATGTTTCTTTATTGTTATATACTCTTATAATAATGAAAAAATTTAAACTACTTTTCCAAATTCTAGATTTTTAAAAAATTAATTCTACAATACAGATCGATGTTTTTTTCCGATTTTACACGAGCTTTAAAAATTCCTACCGCGCACATTCTTTACTTATGTGTCTTAGTTATTCAGCTATGTTCATATGTTGATCGCATTAACTATTCGTCGAAATTGCATACACGCGCATAAATTGTAGTTGTGACACAATATAATATCGTGGCTCTAGTTTTAATAGTTGTGTACCATCGATTTTATAGTCATAAGAAAAGAGGGAAATCTGCGCCGAGACTCGCCGCCTTTTACCATTCATTGTTAACCGCCATCGATTGCAATTGTTTTCAAAGGCTGGCCTTAATAATACACCCACACCAATACGGCGGAAGTTGCAGAACTTTTCCGCAGCCGCTTGAAACTTTGGAATTGCAAACGGCAGACTCGTCTTATGTCTAAATAATTCCTGCCGTCTTATCATAGAAATGTTACTTGAAAGTGTATTACGATAGGGAACTAAAGTCGAGAAAATGAACAACTGCCATCATGGTCAAATAGTTGATAAGAGCGAAGTTATCGATAATTCACACAAAACTGGTATATTATTCGTACTTTAAAGTGGCTGATAACCGTGAAGCTATCGGTATAATTTACACAAAAGTATATTATTTGTATTTTAAAGTGGAAGTCAATATTAAGTTTATCAAATTTTATTTTAAAAAACAATAAATCAATATATAAGAAGTTCATTTTCTCTTCTCTTGATTTTTCAATCATCGAGTTGTTGCATTCTTTTTTTATTTCACGTTATTTTATTTTGAAAAATTACAATTAGATTGTAATAAACATAATTTGTTTAATTTATTTTTTAATTGATATTTGCTGAAACCGCTAATGCGTTTTGGATCTAAAGAACTTTTAATAAGATTCTGGACACAAATCGCTATTTTATATGTAAGGTAGTAGTTTTAACAAAAATCTGCGAGAGAGAAAGGACATTTACTATTTCTTTCTCTTTTCATTCTGTTCTCTCTCTCTCTCTCTCTCTCAGAAATTGTTAAAACATGGCGGACCAATCAAAAGCGGCTTTCTCGTGTCCAGACTCTTATTAGAGGGTCTCTAGTTTCGACCAAAATATCGCCTATGCGAATTTAACCGCTCATTGCGGTTCGCACATGCGGCACGCATATGCTCGCCGTGTGCAGAAACACCGACAGGAATACTCATAAATGCGTGCGAACGAACCCGTGCAAAGTCGCACTTCTCGGGGAACAGAAAGTCGTCGTTTTATTATGCGAAAGGAATAACTAAGAATCTACATGTACAACTTTTGTTCCGTAACTTTCTAATTCAAGGTTTTTGTGTTCATTGATGCGAATCTCGTTTGATATGATCTTTGCACTTTGCGATTAATCAAAGAGCGTTAAACCTTTATTCATGAATCGAGCCATTAGTTGATATATAAAATAAAAGGTAGTCTCATTAATCCTACGATGCGAAACGATAATTCATGAAACATTTATTTCCCCAGAGAGACTGTTTGCGAAGACTAGCTTAGTGTAAAGTTAAAATAAAATATTCAATTATCACACGGCATTAAGACACTATATATCACTCAATTATCGGCCCCTCGGTGTTTACGACACTGCACATGGCACAACCCGTATCGTAGATACACGTGGGCACGAAGAGCGCCCACACGTCGCAGATTCTCGCTCGGCCTTCGACTCTCTTGCCCACCGCGCGTATTAACGTTTCACGCAACTGCCTCGTTCTTTCACCGCCCAACACCTAAACGATCTAACGCAATCGACACCGCGACTTTACGGAATCAGCGATCGCTTGAAGGAAACAATTTGCTGTCAAAAGCTTTTAACAGCAAGACTATTCCTCTTTAATTACTAGCATATGCCTGAGAATTATGAG